AATTTAAGGGGGTCTGAATACTTTCCGTACCCACTGTATAAATGACTTTTCGCAGCCTCCATGATATTGTGCCTCAATATAATATGCAAAGCGCTCTGTGCTTTTGCCGTAGATTATGCAAAACGTGATGTCTGAGCAGTGTCTATCAGCAGATTCGAAATTCAATATTACGCATACTATGAATCCGTACAAGTAGCAGGCTTGAGCTTACATGGCATAGCCTGGAGTACTTGTTAAACCAGCTTCCTAATGCTAGATTTCCATTTTGAAGCTTTTAGTTTACAAAAATTGGTCTGCTTTCTTGTTCTAACAGTACAAGACTCTACAAATCACGTTGGTTATTTATCTACTTTATTGTTGTTGTTTCAGTCTGCACTTTTTTAATAGACTTTGCGTAGAAGTCTGCACTGCGGAACTGATGAGTAAAGGGAAGGTGCAGAACGAGGAGAAACCGGAAACAAACACATGGCCTTAAGGTTTACAGAACAGTGGCACCCATTTCTAGTTTCACTTTCACAGTTAATTTCTGTCACATAAATGTTCTAGCAAACATTGATTTTAAAAAGCAGCCCCTTTTGCAGTACCAATCATACATTAGTGAATAACAGAATACCTCAGAACAGCCATGATATCGTCATTATTTTATATGTCAGTATTGCCCAAACAAAGTATTTTCATATCACTGACAAAGGTGCTTAGATATTTTACAAACATTGTCAAATATTTTAACATTCATGCTTGACTGGTTTCAAGCATACATTTGATAAACATGTTTATTTTTAACACTACATTTGAAAATGTGGTTTATTATGTTACTGAAATATTTCTTGTCTTTTTTTTAGTTTTATTTTCCATTCATTTATCAGAAAAACAGTGTTAAATAGGTGTCCAGTCTGACCTGACAAAACCAGGAGCACTGAAAATATGCTCATTTTGCTCTATGGTCATCAGCTCCTAGTTGCTATGAAATGCATTCATAAAAGCACTCCATCTATTAATAAATGTACAACAAATGCAAGTGCCTGAGTTTGGAAAGGATACTGGAAGGTGTTTCTGAAGTTGAGAAGTTTTTGCAAGAAAATGACTGAGAAAAAAAAATGTATATGAATTATAATAGAGAGAAGAGGGTAAATGCTGCAAGTATGAAACAAAAAATGTTGAGACTCAAACCAGATAAAAAAGGAGCAAAGGCAAGATGACATGGGTAACCTGTTTGTTTGTATTTTTTAAGCATTTCTGTGATGTTTTGTCCTTAGTATTTCAAGTTTGACTTTTAACTTTGTCTTAATGTAAATCAAATAAACATTTCAAATAGTCAAAATGTTTTTATTATTATTATTTTGAGCAATTCCATTTATACTGGTATTAAACTGTAAGTGAGAGTTATCAACAGTACACTTTTTTTGTCCGCCATTTATACAATTGTCTTTCTTGAGGTTTCTGGTTAATTTATTTCCTTATAGAATTTATGGAAACAATTTTTAATGCCAAAACTGAAAGAAATATAACTGAAGTTCGGAAGGCAGGGGTTTCAAACTCCCCCAAATGTTGTTCACCTTGCAAGAGACCACTTTCCTAAAAGTAAGCAATAAAGGAGAGCTGAACACATTATTTGTGTTTTATAGATGTATGTTTTCCCTCAAAATGATATACAGATATATTTCTTGCAGTATCAACAAGTGGGAATGAAATGCTAAAATAATGGTGATTAATATATAGACTACAGTCTAGTCTTTAGAAAGGTTAGTTACTCAGTTACTATAATTAGTAATATCAAATGATGTAGCTAAGCTTTAGTCTGCATTGTCTTAAGTTGATGTGTTTACTTGGACCTCCATATTTTTAAATGGAAAACCAAGATAACTTTCCCATTATTTTTCTGTGATGTTCAGATGATACAATTTTACATGTAGGTAACAAGACTTACGAAGTGTTTAATGAAGGCAGAAAAAGGAGTACCTTACATCTTTGGTTTATTAAATGTTATTGAATATCATTTAATGTGCTTTGTAAACTATTGAACTGTTTTTACAATGTTATGGCTCCATTTAAAGGAAGTGTCTCTGGTTATGTATGTAAGCATGGTTCCCTGAGAAGGGAACGAGACACTGCGTCCTCTAGGAGTCGCTATGGGGAACCCCTTCAGTGTGACCGGTGTCTGAAGCATGCATCTAAATCCGACAATTACTTTGGTCAGCGACAGCCCATGACATCATCACCCGGCGCGACCACAGTGCAAAAGGGCACCGGGAGAACACGTCATCCGCTTCGTCTGAAGCTTATGTCCAAAGCATGGCAAGGGAACTAGAGGACGCTGTGTCTCGTTCCCTTCTCAGGGAACCATGGTTACATATGTAACCCGAGACGTTCCCTTCCGGGGGAACCTCAAACTGCGTCCTCTAGGGTCGCTATGGGGAACGGTATACCCACGCCGCCATGCTGAGGGGAGTGCATGCCAGAAACTACGGTGAGCACTAAGTACCAACTCTACCATAGCCATGGGAGTTGCCCCAAAGGACATCTTGATGGCTGTCAGTCACATTATCCCCTTCGGCCAAGGGCCTGAGCTACATACTCTAAAGAACTTACCTGTTAAGGGCTGGGCTAGGAAGCCCAAGCCTAGGGTAGAGCTCAAGGCTTGGAATCAGAAGAAAGAGATTCCTGTAGGGGAATACCCTGACCCTGGCCTGCCACCCAGGGGGGCTACCGCCGGTTCTGAATAAACCTGTCCAAAGAACTGACTCGACAGATCTTTGGTAGCAACACCCTGTTCAGAAATGTATCAACAGAGATACCCAAGTTGAGTGGAGCCAAAGGCGAGAACCGTGGCCTAAACCAACTCCGAGAAGGGGAACGAGGCTGACAGCGCGTAACCCTTATCATGCAGGATTTTAGAAAGTGCGCAGAATGCTTAGCGTGCACACTTACCACAATGTGGATTTTAGAAAGTGCACAGAAGCTCAGCGTGTACACTTACCATAGCATGGATTTAGAAACATCGTTGATTAAGGGGTAACCAAGTCTGTATTAAACCAGCCTAGGGGCCCTACGTGACTGTGGTAGGCTCACAGAACAGAATCCGAAGCATCTGCTCACAGATGCCCAGATAGGGAGCGGCGCGCTTGCAAGAGGCCCTTGTTTGGTGAGGGGAGCACAGCTAGCTCACTTAACAAGCAACCCACCAGGGAGGAAGGAGATGGTCCAGCCGCCTGGCATGATTGCTATCCGGAGCTCAAAAGGAGACTCACAAGGAGAGCGGCTCAACAGGGAGGTGAAGAGAGGCCTAACAACCTGAGGCCACTACTCAATGGAGCTCAATCGAGCGGACTCGATGAGAGAAATCCACAGACACTCAATTGGGAGCGGCAGGCTCAAAGACAACTCTCCGGGGTGAGGGGAGCACTGCCTGGCTTGACCCAAATAGAGGCAGCTTATCAGGGAGGCAGCAAGTGGCCCAACTACCTGATGTCACTGCCACAGAGCTCAAGAGTGGAGGGTTCAACCCCTAGCGAGGAGAAAGAGGAACGCAGCTCGACCAAAGCGATCAATAGCCCAGGGTCAGAGGAGCTAACTCTCAAGTCGAGAGGAGGACTCACCCAGTCGGCCCAGGACCGGCGAGCTCAAGGGGACCCTCCTGCAGTGAGGGGAGCACAGCCGTGTCCGGGGAGCAGATAGATCGCAAATGGGACATCAGAAATGGGATCCTGCTAGAAGGGGATCACACATTTCTAAAGGGAACAACAGGGTCCCAGCATAGAGGCAACTGACCAAGGAGGTGACCGAAATGGGCCTAACACTCAGTTTTGTTGCAATAGTGATAGTACAGATTCTTAGTCCTCCTGGGACAACTTCTGTTACTTACTGTAAATGTCCAAACATTTTTCAGAAATTAAGTTTGAGATCATTCAGGTGGACAATCAAGATTATTTTGAATGGAACAGGAGCATTGTTGGTGGTCCAGAACAACATCACCAGCCTCAAAGGAAGAGGCCTGTGGAGATGTTGAGACAGGAGCTTTTCAAGCATGGATTCAACCTTCTTACTTTTGTTTTCTCTTATGATGCAAGCACAGAAAATATGAGGTAGAGATAAAATGCAATGGAATTTTCTTCCAGATGTAAATGAAAGGCAAGATCAGTAATTCAGGATAATTCATGTATACAGCAAACACACACGTGTGTGTATATACAGTTGTGGCCAAAATTATTAGAACACTAGTATTTTCACCAGCTAAAAATATGTATGTATATGTGTGTATGCGTGTATGCATGTATGCATGTATGTATGTGTGTATGTATGTATGTTTATGTGTGTGTGTATGTATGTGTGTATGTATGTATGTTTATGTGTGTGTGTGTGTGTGTATGCGTGTATGCGTGTGCGTGTATGTATGTGTATGTGTGTATGTGTGTGTGTGTGTGTGTGTGATGTATGTATGTATGTATGTTTACGTGTATGTATGTATGTTTATGTGTATGTATATATGCATGTATATGACTCATCTGTAGTTATCAGGAAAGTTTGTTTGCAGTTCTTGCTGCTAAAGGTGGCACAAACAGATTCAAGTGTTGATGTTGGAACAATTATTTATTTTGTTTAGATATACACAATATATGTAAAACAAAAGTCACTGTTGAAGAATTGCAATAAACATGTATTTTCTTTAGCATATTTGTGCATCTACAGCTGAATGTGTTTTATAATCAATAGAGAACACACCTATAGATTTTATGTTAATATTTACTTTTAATAAATGCATTACTACTGCAAAATGGAGGACTGCAATTTTTTCTAAAGTTGAACTGTTTAAGATAATTTTTTGTTTGGATGGCTGTGCTAACTGTTTTGAGAACAAGTACACTGCATTAGAGAAAAGTGCGAAATCGATTGAGAAAAACTGTAATATCCTAATGATTTTTGGCATAAAAGAAAATCATTTGACCATACAATGTGGCTATGGGTACAAATATACCTGTGCTACTTATGACTGCTTTTGTGCTCCAGGGTCACAATCCTCAATAGGATCAAAGAAAAGAAGATTGAAATGACCTGAACATTGAGTCCAACTTGTCCGTTAGTCACTTTTGCCCAGGCCTGATCAAAAATAAAATTCTGCCTACGCCACTGATGTGTCTGAAAACAAAAGTATCTAAATACTGATATTTGGTTAAAAATCAGGATCAAAATATGAAGTTATGAATACATGCTTAAGTTCCAGAGTCATATTGATTGTTTTTGTTGAGCAGTGATGAATGGCCAGCGGGGGGACAGCAGAGCTCAGAAAGGGCGGATTTGTGCGTGTGCAGACTTTGAGTAATTGTATTTCTTTTTCATGAGTAATATGACACGACGAAGAGTTTTCTTTGTGGTTTCAGATGAATCACAGCCGTGTGCGAGGGTCATATAGAGTTTTATAAAAAGCTTCTGTAAGTAGTATTGGGTGACTCTGACACCGCAGCCACAATATGACCAGATTTCGGAAATGTAAACCAGGGGATATTTAAATGAGGAATTCATTATGATGAAGATGATGATGTATGTGGCTCAAACTGACCCTAAACGGTTTTAATACAACTGATCAAAAATCACACTAAGAAAAATTGTAAAATATTAAATAAACAGATTAAAACAATATTGTATAAAAAAAAAAAAAAAAAACTTTACAAAAACACATAACAAAAATTAAATAATGGGGGGAAAAACTATTATATCAAACATTTTTTCTAATTGCATTTAATATTTTCATAAAACCATGAATATACTGTATACATTAATTACAGCTTTTTCAAATATATGTTCGTGCTTTTGGACGTTGATCTTTATTTTCTCTAATTAGGCTTTTTATTTAGCATTTTAGGCTGATTTTGAGCACAAATGAAGTGTTTTCTGTGCTTCAGGACACCAGCAACTCAAACTAACAAAAACACTCACAAAAGGAGCAAACATGTAGTGGAGTAAAACGGACAGAGCTTCCATTCATAACTTTAAATTAAATCAGATTTGTGGAGCAGAACTACCTGTTGAATAAAGTGAGATATTAATCAATCTCACATCAATGATAATACATCAAACTAACACCTACATTGAACGCCACCTACAGGTTTTCTTTTTCCAAATATTCCACAGTCGGAATTGAGACATTCCTTTTTTTGTTTGTGTACCAGATTTATAAAAGTAACAGTACACCAAAAATGTAAATTCTGTCATCATTTATTCACCTGATTGTTGATCCAAACCTGCTGTTTGTTCTTCTGATGAACAAGATATTTTAAAGAATGTTGACGGCAGCCATTGACTTTCCAGTGGAAAAATACTATGGAAGTCAATGGCTACCGTCAACTGCTTCTTCAAAATATATATTTTTTTATTTTTTTTTATTATTGTTCAGCAGAACAAAGAAACTCAACACGATGGTGAGCAAACGAGGACAGGATTTTGTTTGTTTTACTAAAACAGCTATTTCATAAAAAGTTACTTCTAATGCCAAGTCCTCAGAGAAAATGATCAAAACCAAAAGAACTGTAAGGATGAATAATAAACATCTCATTTATTATAGATACTCTGGTAGGACAACACTTTCGTACATCATCCACACTGAACCTTTGGTTACACAGAGTTACACACTAATCAACATTGAGCTCCACAGACATCCTCGTACCTTCAGGCTTCAGGTATTGGTTTTGTAAATAGAAATCCTTCAAATGGCTAAAGAATGGAAGTTTAAGTAAAATAACACATGTATAAAATCGGAACGCAGCAACATATTGCACTTTGGTTAGGTGACAGTGCTTTAGAGACAGCAACATATAACAAATGATCAACAATAAACTCAAGAAAACATGCGTAAAAGGCACATTTCTGAAGCCGTGAACTTTGGCGCCGCGGGTCTCATCGCTCTCGTCTCGTCCAGTGTGATGCATTTACAGTAAATGTGCCACTGACATTTTGGTGAACATTGCAGATTAATAAAAGTGGCAAATTAGTTGTGGCCTAAAACATAAAACGACAAAAACATTCGGTAAAATAACTTAATGTACCAATTAAAATGTACACTTTTTCACTTTAGTAAAGAAGAACTTGTGCAGCAGTTCAAAAAAAATAAAACAGAAATTCCTTTTTTCAGCATTTAAACATTTGTACAAGGAAACTGGTTATAAAAGTGATAAGTTGCAACTTTGTAAATACAAATATATAAGAATATGCAAGGTTTGTGCAATATATTTGGCAATGCAATTTTCGCTAACTTGAAGATAAAATGACAACAGTAGCTTTTAAAGAAACGACGCAGTTCAGCGTTTCTGACTCTCCAGTATAAAATCCCCGCGTTTACATGAATGCATCAGTACACTTTCATCTCTGCTGGTCACTATTAAATGAATGAAGCTGAATGTGGTTTCAGGCGAGTGTTCTGTAAAGAGACGCTGTGTTTGTCAGTGCTCTCAGTATTAGATGAATGTTTCTTTGGCTTCAGCGTGATGTGATTTAAGTTTCTCATGCTTGGCTCATGTGGTGGACGAATCAATGTACGGGAGGAACGTCGTGAGTTTGTTTGGTGAGCCGATGTTCTGACACTGGGAATCATCACTCATCTTGAAGAAAAGCTCCTGCTCTTTCTTCCTCAGCTTCAGTTCTTCCTCCAGAACCTGAGAGAGGAGACAGAAACACATCAGACTTCAACTCTACAAGCACCTGGCGTGTGAGGTTATTCACATCAGCCAAATACTGTCAAAACCTTCTTTTTATATCATTGTTAAAGGTGATGCATTGCTTTAATGCCTTTATATACGCCTTTATATTAGAATAAAAAATGCAGCGATTTAATATTGTGAGTAAAATTACTATAAATTAAAATGAGAAAATCTAATGAGAATAAATTGGAATAAAAAAACGTAGCTATATGCACTGAAAAAAAAAAAATTAATTGAATTTACTAAACATTTTTAAGGTAAGTGGTTGCAATCAATGCATTTTAGCTACATTTAAATAAACAAATTTAGTTGACTAACTTTCAACATTTGTTTTTATTTAAATGTAGCTAAAATAAATTTTTGCATCCACTTACCTTTTGTATAATGTTTTTCAGCGTGCATAGACATAACAGTAATGAGAAGTGCGCTTAATCATGTGATCATGTGAATGTGTATATATGCTTCTGTTCAAAAATCTGAGCTCAGAAAGATTTATTTGCATTTTTCTTTTTCAATTAACATTTTTCCAGCAATGAAATTGATCAAAAGCGACAGGAAAGACATTTATAATGTTCCAAAAAAACGTAGCTATATGCACTGAAAAAAAAGAAATTAATTGAATTTACTAAACATTTTTAAGGTAAGTGGTTGCAATCAATGCATTTTAGCTACATTTAAAAAAACAAATTTAGTTGACTAACTTTCAACATTTGTTTTTATTTAAATGTAGCTAAAATAAATTTTTGCATCCACTTACCTTTTGTATAATGTTTTTCAGCGTGCATAGACATAACAGTAATGAGAAGTGCGCTTAATCATGTGATCATGTGAATGTGTATATATGCTTCTGTTCAAAAATCTGAGCTCAGAAAGATTTATTTGCATTTTTCTTTTTCAATTAACATTTTTCCAGCAATGAAATTGATCAAAAGCGACAGGAAAGACATTTATAATGTTCCAAAAAATAAATTCTATTTCAAACGAACGCTGTTCTTTTTCAACTTTCTGCTCATCTGTGAATCCTGAAAAATCAAATGCATCACGGTTTCCACAAAAATATCGTGCAGCACAACTGTAGTCAACACTGATAATAATCAGAAAAGCAGCAAGTCAGTATATCAGAATGATTTCTGAAGGATCATGTGACACTGAAGACTGGAGTAATGATCTGAGCAATAAATTAGTTTAATAGATATTAAATAGGCCTGTCATGATCATGAATTTTGTGCTGACGATTCATTAATTGTCTGTTTTGTTCAATGCAATTACATTGTCAGTCAAATACATATTTTTTTAAAATTAAATTTAATTAATTTGAATATATAATTTTTTCGTATAATCTTTCCTTATGTAATTTACAGCAATAACTGACTGCTGTGATGCTGAAATCTGACTCGCCTCCAGGAAAATGAGACGCAACAGCAATATTTACACAAATGTAAACTATACAATTATTGCGGATATCTCAAATAACTGCAAAAACCTGACAGGCCTTATATTAAAATAAAAAAAACAGTGTTTGAAATTGTAATATTTAACAACATAACTGTTTTTGATCAAATGCAGTCTTGGCGAGCAGAAGAGACTACAGCCCAAACTTTTGAGCTGAGTGTGTAATTATTAAGTGTATTTGGTGAAGCGCAGACCTTCTTCCTGGGCTTGAGGTGCTCCCTCCACTCCTTCAGCTGCTGGTTGTGCTGCTCGTCCACAGCCTTCAGACGCTGCGTCTCGTTTTCTATCAGCAGGTGACACTTCTCATTCTGCAGGAGACCAGCACACAGTGACACACTGATACAGACACAGCTTTTCTCTACGGTTTGAGACGACGTGTTTTGACAGAGGCTTCTGAATTTGAAAGGGAATTTGAAAATATTGATGCATGTCGAGTGGTGTGATGTTTATGGTTATACTGGTATGTGCCTGTTATGTGCTGTTCACTTTCTAAAGATATACTGTATGATCATTTGTAAACATTGGAAGCAAACAGCAAACGTATTTCCGAACCTAATGGAAACATTCGGTACTGCGGCCAAACAAAATCTTAACCGAATGCTCTTTTTTTTGTGATATCAACCTCAAATTTGGAACACAACGTCTTTAGATTTATGGCTTTGATTTTCTAGCAGGTTTAGAGTAAAACGCTGAATAAATAAGCTTTCCATTGATGTATGGTTTGTTAGGATAGGACAATATTTGGCTGAGATACAACTATTTGAAAATCTGGAATCTGAGGGTGCAAAAAAATCTAAATATTGAGAAAATCATCTTTAAAGTTGTTCAAATGAAGTTCTTAGCAATGCATATTACTAATCAAACATTAAGTTTTAATATATTTACGGTAGCAACTTTACAAAATATCTTCATGGAACATGATCTTTACTTAATATCCTAATGATTTTTGGCATAAATGAAAAATGTATAATTTTGACCCATACAATGTATTGTTGGCTATTGCTACAAATATACCCCAGCGACTTAAGACTGCTTTTGTGCTCCAGGGTCACATATTTAAAATAATTCTTCTTCATGAAAAAAACAAACATCTGCATCATGCATCTAACTTATCATCTCACAATCGGTCAAATTGCATTATATATAACAAGTCACTAAACAAGAAGTTAATACTAAGTGACTTAAATCGTAGCGACAATATTGTCTTTTTTGCTCTATTTCACTAATGAAAATGGTTTGTTACTGAATTAATTTGCGTGTTTGGACATATCTGCCGAGTCAATTGCTGCGTCCCAATTTGCATACTATCCGTCCTAAATAGTATTCGAAATTAGAATTAGTATGTCCCAAATTGTAGTATGTTGAAAAGAGTATTCCAAAGGTACCCGGATGGTTTACTGCTTCCGGTTAGAATTGGAAGTGCAGATCGATGCACACTCTAACGGCTAATATTGCCCACAACACATTGCACGGTGGATGAGGATTCCATTAGAACTACAAACACACATGAAAAGGGTTAAAAAACTACAAACATGGTGGATATGCAAGACCTACGGACAGGTAGAGAAAGGGGTTTGAGTGATAAATAAATATTTTTTCAACAGGTTAGATATTGATTATTTAATGTTATCCGCGTTATATTTCATCTGCAGCAACACTGAACTTTATAATGATACGTTTGGTCATTAACTTTTAAATGCATCATTATGC